TTCACCCATCCTGTCTCTGGTACTAAATTCTAATAGTGACTTTGTTTTTGGCAGCTAAAATAACTTTTCCATTGTATGGATTTCTAGCCCCTTCCAGAACTTACTCTCTTCCATTTTTTTTTAAACTTCTACAAGGGTTCGGTTGTGTTCTTTTTAAAAAGCAAAAAAAAACCCAAAAAACAAAAAAAAGGGTACATAGTATTTATGCATATTTTGCCCTGTGTATATAATGTGCAGTAATCAAATCAGCAACTTTGTCACCGCCATCCTCTCTGCTGTTGCCGCCTCTGCTTCCCTGCTCCATTCTGGAGTCGTTGTCTCCAACATCCCCTTGACTATTGCCAGGCTTCTCCACATCCCTCCCTCCCCCTGCCTGTCCCAGTTCTAACATCCCCTAGGCCACCCGTGTGAGAAGAACAGCTTTAGCTCCTGTGTATAAGGAAGATCCTTCCCATGTATGGTCTGTAATGTCCTCCGGGCCCGGCCATGCTGCTGTGAATGTAAAACACAGTTCTGTTCATAAGTACGAGAAAGAGAATGACTGTGCACAGCTGGATCTTCTGAAAAGCAGGTCACCCAGGTCACCTGGATTCTCAGCAGACTCTTACTATGTCTGGGCAATGTGGGGGTAGTTTTAGAAATCACACTTGAAACAAGCAAGAGTTTGGCCTCTTTCCTGGTTTTGTGATCAGAAGCTTGGCCCCTTCTTCTCAGGTATGTCTATCATTCTAAGTGTAATTTTTAGTTTCAGTCCAAAGAAAGGCAAAAACCTACCTTTAGTGGTTATTATACTTGCTGAAACAGAAAACTGAAAAATTGTGGATTTGAGAATCTGACAGTCTGGCTTATTCAGATCAAGCCTCTAGTGTGCTTTCTGAACTTTCTTCTTCCCCAGTGATGTCTGTTGATGTCATTTCTCTCTGAACTTTCTTCTTGACCCAGTGTTGTCTATTGACGTAATTTCAAAACCCAAATACAAAAATTTCAGCAGGAAGCTTCTCAGAGCAGATCTTTGTAACTCTTTACTCCTGTCCTGTATTTTCTGGCTTTCGAGCCATGTGGCTCCTGGAGTGATGAATACCTAGCACGTGCAGTCACCCACTGTGGGCACTGAGTGATTGCACCGTCCCTGCCCTCGATGATGGTGCCACCTCATCAGTTTGCTGCTGTTCTCTGGTTATGTTGGTCCACTCAGAAGGCCACACAGGACAAAGACTTGAGTTCTCCTTATCTTCCTATAACAAATGGGACTCTTAAAGTACAGGCAGGTCACTAACAATTTCTGTGTTTCAGTGCAGCACGAACTGCCTGCTCTGTGACTTAAAAATCTGTGAGTTGAAATTTAATAGCTCCATAAATGTTAACTGGCTTCCCCACCAGCTCACTATTCTGAAACACCATAGGAAGTGCTCATTTTTTCCTTTTTCTTTTTCTTTATTTTTTAGGAATTTCATTTCAAGGAACAGAAAACCAATTTTATTTTTATGTGTTTCAAATATTAGTGGGAACATGAGGCAAAAAATATATAGCAAACACCATATTCTGGCAATGCTGTTGCTATTTTTACTACTGGTATATTTTTCAGATTGTTGAAGTTTCTAAGTTCTTTTTTTTAACTCCTTTTTGCTGTGCTTTCCATAATGTAAGTAAATACATCCTACCCTTCATCTGTCTCTCTGCAAAGCTCTTCAGAGCACAGTCCTCTGTAAAGATCAGAGAGAGGAAACATCTATTCCACACATTAGTGCAAGGGTGCTTTTAAGTCAGCCCAGTGTTCTGGTGGCACAGGGCTCTCAGTGCTGCTTTCTGAATTAGTAACTAACTGTAAAGCTGTGCACATGTGCAGGCATCTGACGCCTTTTTTAGGTAGCTGTAGTTCTGCCTTCTGTGGCCTCAAAGATATCTGTGCTTTGTTAATGACTAAGTCATGATAAATAGATGCTCTTGGGGGCGAGCAGCTAAGCCTTTTTGACAGTTTTGACTCCTTCCATGACTGGATTTGCATTTTTCTTATTGTAGGTCATAGCGAAGTGGTTTGTGTTCTGTTTGAGTGTCACTAGAGCATATGTAGACAACGTGCCCTTTGCATGGCCTAAAACCCAGCAGCTCTCCCTCTTCCCTGATGGCACTTAACAGCACATACTCACACCCTGCACTCTCCTCATGCTGCCGTCTTTATGGAACTGATTAGCACTTTTCCTCAGCACTCAGACTTTGAGTGAATGCCTACCATGGGCCAGGCATCATTCTAGGAAGTTAACTCTTCTTGTGGTTGTACATACAGTCTTTGATGCTACATTGTCTTGTCTTTTTCTGTTGTGCTTTAAAAGCACAGGGCCCTCAAATGTAATTGAGAGCCACACATTCATCTTTACAAGATGCATGAGATGGACGCTGAAGCTGCCACCTGTCCATCTCAGCTGTGAGGGCAAGGAGTCTCCAATGGCAACATGTTCCTTCCTTATCCTTGTGGCTCACACAGAGAATGCCTTCCACCTGCTTCCTATGGCTGGTAGAGTACTAGCCAGGTTCTCCTTTGTGGATCCAAGCTTCTGTGCATCGGGTAGCACAGAGGTAAATGTGGCCCTATCTGGCATAGCCTAAAGGAAGCACAATTATTCCCACTTACCCTGATAACAAGGGTTCAGGACATATGCTCTCAGGAGGCAAAACACTATTTGGCCTAACCTCTGTCCATTCTCTTCATTCTCTGTTTTTGTTTATCTTCCCAGTACATAGGCTGGACTGACTTTAGAGCCTATTAGAATGTGGTGTCTATCCATCAGCATGAGGGAGAGGTAGGCATTTTTGTGCCATCCTGGAGGATCCACTTAGCCCTTTGACTGTCTGCAGTTGCCAGATTGAGGTGGCAGTAGTACACGTGAGAATCCTGTCCTCTGCAAGTGTGGCCTACCATGAGGATGGAGGAAGTATGTGGGAAGGACTTCACAAACTTTGGGCCTGACCACCTAACTCATATCTCACTCAAGAGCCAAAAAAAAAAAAAAAGGAGGCACTCCCATGGGAGCTGTGGGAAGCAATGGTTGTATGGATTCAACTACAGGCTTGTTCATCTCAGTGGAAGAGAGGAGGGAAAGGACTTTTTGTCAGAAGTACTTCCTTTTCTAGTATCTTACCCTTCAAATTGTCTTCTCATATGCCACCAGGTTTGAAAGAGCTTTAAATGTTTAAAATAACTGGTCAGCGTTCTCAGCATAGCACAGCTTCAGGAGCCTAGGAAGGGAAGGGAAGCAGAAGGGGTTGGCTGCCCAGTGTGGTCATACAGAAGAGAGCCCACTGCCTCCCTTCCCTTCCTTTTCCTGCCAGCAGCGAGATCCTCCATTCTTGGCCAAGTCCATTTGCTCTTGGGCAAAATGTTCCTATTTAGATAAACTCATCTTCCCAAAGATTCAGAAACCTATACAGAAAGATGCAATAACTGCTATATGTAATGATTTTCTTTCAAATCATGATTGAATAACTTGGCTCCTTTTTCAGTTTGAAAAGCTGCACAGAAATGATGAGGGAAAATTGATTTTTATTTTTGAGTTCTTTTCTCATGATGCTGTCCCCCAATAATGACAAATGGCAAGGGAGAGTGTTGTACCATTCAGGTATTTATTTGCTGACCACATAGCACACTCTGAACCAGCTTCAGCAGAAAGGGGAAGATAAAGAGGCAGTTGGAGGCTTATAGTTTGCTCATGGGAGCTGTAGAAATGGGTTCTTTCTGGGGGGCGGGGGTAGGGGAGGACAGGTGGGAGAAGGGAACTAGGATTGTCATGTAAAACAATCCTGTTTCTAATTCAAATAAAAAAGTTGGGAAAAAATAAAAATAGAAAAAGAAATGGGTTCTATGCTGAAGTCCCAGGACAAGCTCATCTTTCTCATTATACAACTGTCCAGTGTGTTCTACCTCCACCTGTACTAGCAAAGCATGAGCTCCCATGCTCTGTCCCTTCCGATAGTTCAGATCTTGCCTTCTGTAAGGTTACCAGAGCTAGAAGGCCTGATCCTGAGCCTGCACCCAAGCATCAAAGTGGGTAGGCAAGATGCCTGTACTGTAAGCTGTTTAGTTACAGCTTCAGTGACCCTCCTGGGTGACCAGATCAACACTGAAAGTTACAGAAATACTTTAAGTAAATCTAAAAAGCAGGTTGTTTTGTAACTTCCTCTCCCAGGGAACTTGGCTGTGTCTGTATCATCATTGTGCATCAAGCTGACCTCTCATACTAATTAGTTCTTTTCTCTGGCTTTCCAAGACATAGTGACAAGATTCTGTGATGTTTAGCATATATAAAAGAAAGTTCATGAATGGTTCATCTATCCTTTACTGTGTTCCATTGCCATGGTTGATGAAATCTGTGTGCCCTGTGTTGGTTCACATGGAAGACTTTAGAACTACAATGTCTATCTTTTCTGTAGAGAAGTAAACCAGTTTTGTTTCTTTTTATAAACAAAACTCCAGTTTAGCATGATTTAAAAATCATTATTTTGGGGAGATTTTCCCCCCTCAAATTAGTTTATCATGCAAGCTTTTAGTGTTCTGCAAAGCAAGCAGCATTGTTTCAACGTTTCAAAGGCCTAGTAGTGGAATTGTAATTCTTACAGCATTAAAATTGACATAGAAGGCTATGTTTTCAGCCCTTTTTAAGGTGTTGACTAACAGTGCCTCCTTTGGGGTATTCGGGATCCAAAAGAAATATAGAAAAGTATGAGAACAGGTGCTAAGATGGGCTGTGAGCTTTAACACTGAAGTACTCAAATATCTGCTGCTTGCAAATCAAAGTGTGATTATTAACATGCCCATGGAAGAGAATCAGGAACCTGAGTTAAAGAGTTTTTCCTCGCTTCCTTGGCAACAAAAGATGAATAAAAACTTCTCCTTTTTATTTTCTTGGTTTTTCTGACCTGAGTTCCTTCAAATACTTTACTCCACTGTGTATCATATTTTTAGTTTTATTTGTTTATATACATATATATTTTTTATCCTTCTACAGGGAGTTAAATACCTGTGTATTCCAGCAGCGGACTCACCATCTCAAAATCTGTAAGTTTTTTTTTGTGTGTGTGTGTTATTTGGAGAAATTAAAAACAAATGCAGTGTGTGTTGCAGCAGTTCTTGGGCCAGCTTAAATGCAAACACAGGATTCTGAAGCAAAAAAGTAAGCACCTGTGAGTATCTGTGAAGGTCCTACTATCCCCAGGAGGATGTGAGTCTGCAGAAATCAAAACTGGCTAAGCCAAGGCAAACTATGGCTGGAGGCACCTCATTATTTTCCAGTCCTACTGTAAAACATGAAGGATGAGTGTCCACAGGAAGGCTCTTTCTAAGACCTGAAGTCTAGGGTGATGGCTCAATCAGTAGAGTGCCTGCTGTGCAAGCCTGAGGACCAGAATGCAGGACCCCAGCATCCATGTAAAAACTAGCACAGGCACATATCTATAACCTCAGTGCTAGGAACCTACAGATAAATTGAACTCCAGAGTTCATTGTTCAGAGAGTCTAGCAAAATTATTGAGCCCCAGGTTCAGGGAGGGATACAGAAAACACTGGTCATCAACCTCTGGCCTCCACATGCACAGGCACACATACACACACACACACACACACACACACACACACACAGAGAGAGAGAGAGAGAGAGAGAGAGAGAGAAAACGTGAAGTGTCGAGAAGGTGGCTTAGTAAAGTGTTTCCCTTGCAAGCTTGAGTACCTGAGTTCTGATCCCCAGGGGTGTTGGCAAATCTCTGGAAACTCATTGGAGAGATTGTCTAGCCCATGAAGTGAAATCCTAGGCCAATGGAAGACTGTCCTAAACAAGAAGTAGAAGTACTTGAAGATCAACCAGTACCCAATACCCAAGTAAAGAAGCAGGCAACATTAGTTCTAATATTTTCTTAACCCAATGTATCTAAAATGTGGTATTCAAAGTGAAAATATACATGTTAAATATAAAAATTCCCAAGATAGTTCATAGCCATGGCCTCATACTGTCACAGCATTGTGGTGTGCATTTTCTGCCCTGAGATGTCTTTTCTGTTTGCTCCAGCTGCATTGCCAGTGGTCTGTGTTCACATAGAATTTATGTCAACACACCCCCTCCTGACCCAGTCGGACAGTACAGACCTAAGGCCTGGCCAAACAGAGTGACCCCGTCTTTCTGTTTACCATGACCAGTCTGTTGTTGTGATTTCATAATTTAATAAATCTTTGACATCATTTTAACCCTGTTTATCTTTTTTCCTCTAAAATATATGCCTATGATTTATTTGCTCCCTTCCTTCCTTCCTTCCTTCCTTCCTTCCTTCCTTCCTTCCTGCCTTCCTTCCTTCCTTCCGTGTGTGTGTGTGTGTGTGTGTGTGTGTGTGTGTGTGTGTGTTTAATGTCTGTGCATGAGTATTTGGGCATGTGTGTGCCATTCTGTACACTTAGGTCACAGGACAACTTCCCGGAGTCAGGTTTCTTCTTTCATTCTGTGTTCCAGTGATCTAACTCAGGTTTTAGGCTTCTTGCAGAAGCATCTTTGTCCACCAGCCTGCCTCACAGGGTCTTCCTTGTCATTTTAACCATTTAAGAGAGATTCACAATTATAGCTCACCTCAGTGGCAGCATCCACATTGAGCAATAGTGCAGCCTTGATAGGCTGGGATGGAGCATTAGAGTTATAAGTGCAACAAGCACCCTCAATCCCACATTATGCCTAGCATGAATAGGTGATAGTTTCCTAGGCCTGCATTTGACCCTTGCAGGCTGAGATACTAGGAACTCCATCACTTTACAAATCCCACTGAACCTGGCCTTTAATTCTTTGGCTGTCTTGGTCTGGATGTTGGGAGCCAGCATGACAGCTCTACTATATGTTACTATATGTCATCAAAAACGCCCCAGATTCAAATGGTGTTTTTGAGTCTGGAAGACCACAGGGTTCATCTTCCATTGTGCACAAGTGCTAGTGCATACAATCTGTGTCCTTGAGGCAGACTATATACTTGTGTTTCCTGTCCCAACTGACAAGCTTCTCTAAAAGATGCTGAAATGTCAGCCATCCCTAGGTCTTCTCTGCCAGAGAATAAAGAAATCATGGATCAAGCTGTAACTTTTTAAGACCTACTTATTGCAGGAGTGGTAGGGTAGGTGTACAGTTCAGTTGGACAGGGTTAGAGGGAATAGAGTTAGACCAAGAAAGTACTGAGTACATGGAAAGTTGGTACAAACATGTTCTTCCCCAGGTCAGGGATTGTTTCTACCCTGACCCTTGATGTTTCAAAGAGAGGTAAGACTTTAAGATTCAGAAAGGGAGAAACAAGATTTTACTAGGAAAACAAAGTAGTAGCCTACCCTGGAAGGAGAAGCAGCAACTTTAGAGAACTTCCTTGGTTACCAGTCGTGTCAAGAAACAGAAGTGGTTGGAAGGGCATGGTCCCTGAGGAAGGAAGTGAGGCGCTGCCTTTCTCCGAAGACCACAGCAATCTTCTGCCCTTGTTTTGGTGACTATTTTTGGAATGATTGCTTTGCTCTCATCTCTAACCATGATTCGACCATGCTGTTGAATGTGTCAATACCTGATTGGCAGGAATTAATCAGTAAACTATCCTGGGCATGTGCTGTCAGGACACACGGCCTGTTTGAGCAGCTGTAAGATTTTAGCTTTTCTAGGGGCTAAGTGCCATCTTCAACTTCCACAACAGTGATCTATTGCAAGCAGTGACAATCCTGCAGTATAGACAAGTGGACAAGACAGCTGTCAGAAAGCCCCATGTTTAGAACCAGTCCCACCCACCATAGGCAAGTCATTTTAACTAGTCTACACTTAAATTCTCTCATCTGAAAACATCCATCTCTAGGATTTGGGGAGGCAAAATCATATGTACATGAGCATATCTCTGTGAACTCTAGGCACTTTGAAAATTATAGAGCTATGTCTGCTGTCCTGAGTATCTTCAGAGTTACAGGAATGATTGTGGAAATGAGTTTTGGTCACAGCTTAAGTTTTGTTTATTTATTGCCAGTGAAGGTGATTGAGTGTCTTCATCTCTTTTCTGTTGCTATAACAGAACATCTGAGACTGGGTAACTTATACAGAACACAAGTAAGTTTTATCTCACAGTTCAGGAAGCTTGAAGTCCAAGATTGGGCAGTCACATCTGCTGAGCCTTGTGCTGCTTGATAATACTATGGTGGACAGGCAAAGAGTGAGTGCCTATATAGAAGAGATGGAGGAGGCCAGTGCTTGAGACATTCATGAGGGCTTTATGCCATGACCCACCCACTTTATACCCACCTGGCCTGTCTCCCAGTACTGCCAGATTTAGGAATTAAGGTTCCAATAAACCATTAGGGGAAGAGGCATTTAGACTGTAACAGTGATTGCGATTCCATGATAGAATCAAATGCTTTCCCTGAAGTTGGCAGTTGGAATACTTACCTCTCTATGATCTAACTCATTTAGAGTTTCCTGTTTTTACTACTCACTAAATATGAGGAGGTTACGATGAACCTCCACTTTCTATATCACCAACTAATGTGGATGGCCAGGAGATCAGTATGCTTTTTTATTTTATTTTTAACATAGATCATTTTTAGAAAAGATTTATTTATTTTAATTTTATGTGTATTGGTATTTTGCTTGTTTGTATTTCTGTATACCAGGTACATGCAGTGCCCACAGAGGATAGAAGATGGTTTTGAATCTCCTGGAACTAGAATTACAGAGTTGTTAGATGCCATGTGGGCACTGGGAATTGAATCCAGTACTCTACCACTGAGCAGTCTCTCCAGCCTCAAGATAAATATTTTTAATGTTTTGGGTTTAAAAAAAAAAAAAAGCAAGAGAAAGCTTGAGTAGTTTGTAAAACTTGCTATTGGTAACCCAGAAGCTTATCCACAGGCAATCTTCGGCTGACCACATTAGCTTCTGGTGCTTGTTCCCTCCCTCAGTGACAGAACAAATCCTGGAAGTTTGTACTGCTCACTGTTTTAAACTTAGATACTGGTTTTTAAAATGATTTTCAACTTTGGAAAAAATGCATTATTTCCTAGACTGGGGACATACTTAGTGGTAGAATGATCTCCCCCATCTGGTAAGATAAAAATTAAATATTTCTCTCTCTGCAAAACTCTAAACAGCAGGAATTTGGGCTGATTCTGCTTAGAAAGAAGTGTGTGACCTTTGACACATTAGTCACCTGATTGTCAGTTGCTATGAACTGCAGAAAAGTTGGTTTTCTTTTTTGGCCTTAATCCTAGAGAATCTCCCCCATCTGACCTTCCATGAACTTAAAATGCAGAAACCTGGTTTGAGATAACATTAGTAGAAAATTTTAGCTCAGTTCCCCCAGCCACCTAGCCTGCCCAAGTCAGGAAATATAAAAGTTCAAGTTCTCCGTGTCCCAATAACCTCACAACCCTAGTGTGGTATGTTTTGCATGATGTTGTCTTAGTGAGAGATATGCTAGAGTGAGTGTTAAGTCCACGCTGTGCATGTGTGTCAAGTGGCCAGTGCTGGGGCTTAGTGTATGAAGGTTTGGAGACCCATTTGTGTTTGTTTTCTCTAAAGCAAGTCATTTTAACCTTCTCACTTAATAATCTGCCTATCTCCTGGGAGATTTAGAATATTGAGATTCTTAAGAAATTGGGTATTTTGTTAATTCTTTAGTACTTGTAAAATAAGGTTGTAGTCTGTATTCAAGTAAGGAATCCTAATGCATTTTCCAAGTAGATGCTTAGATATGTATTCACTTGCATTTGCTTATTCTGTTTTTATTACACATTAAGTTGGTGTTTGTAGCCAGACAGCGCTAAGTTGATAATTCTTTCCTTTTCTGTGAAGTTTGAGGAGTTGTGTCATAGGCTCTGGAGCCTATAGCATTCCATGGTTACAGCAGTCTCTGGTGTTCTGTGGCTTCAGAGCCAAGCAGTGTCTGTGTGGAGAGGTGAGCATGAGCACCACACAGAGCTCTGTAAGGACATCAGGGAATATTTTGCTCTTAGTTTGCCACCTAGTCATTTTGTCTATGTTGTCTGTGGATAGCTGGTGTTGTCTGTAC